TTCGTAATCAACAAAGACAGGCCAAATGAACTATTTAATTAATTCAGTGAACTTGCCTTAAATTTGCTGAAATCTGTTGTTTTTTGTTTTAATATCATTAAAAAACTTTCATTGATATTATATAAACTATTATATATACAACATTAAATTTCAATTTATTTTTTGCATTCAGTAAACTTTTTATAAACTTATTAAAAAGTTTTTGTTTTTCATGTTTTTTGTATTTTAAAAAATGTTTATTTATATCACATTTCAATGAAAAACACATAATACAATTAAATTCTTTTTTACCTCTTTTTTGTAAACAAGAACTATTTTTTTTTTTAATTTATTGAGTATATAAAAATGTGTATGTGTTTTTATCTACTATTAAGCAGGCCATGGACTGCTGAGATAATTCAGAGAGTTAGTGTAACTATAATAGCAAATAGAACCTATTGCTATAGTGCGATTGCAATTCATTTTCCAATGCCCGAAAAACTCTCTTATTTCGTTTGTAATTTGTACAGCTTCATACAGACAGACAGACAGCCAGACAGCCAGCCATATAGGTCTGTGGATGGGCTGCTCGGACTACATGGGCATTTCGCGCATTTCACCTCTAACCGTACTTTCGCCAATTTCCACTGATGCGCTCTTTGTAATTTCTGGCCGACCATTTTCCATTGCAATGCTTGGCCATTTTTTTTTGTTTTCCCTGTTTATTTTATATATTTTCAGTTGATTTCTTTCGTTTCGATTGCGTTTTCGTTTTTGTTGCACGTCGCGTTGCGTCGCGCGGTTTTGTGTATCTCAATACGAAAATATTTGTATCTGTTAATGCATCTCCACATGTATCTGTCGCTCAATGGACTCTGTGTGTGTGTGTGTGTGTGCGCGCGAGTGTGGCTGACTGAATGTTTGGGTGCGTAGGCTTTTTTGACTTTCACAGTTTTTCGCTTACCGCCGCCAACAATCACACAGTCAACCCCAGTTGCGGCGGCAACCGAACAACAACAACAACAACCAATGCTAAATAGTCAAATAGTTTTTCATGTGCCGCACTTTACAACAACAACAAAAGAAGCGCCAACAAATTGCAGCGAAATACAACAAAATGAAGAAGAAGCAACTACATACATTTATATATATATATATATATAGATATATACATATATATATATATATATACAACGAAAAGCCAAGCCCCGGAAAAGTGTAAAACGCATTGCGAAAATGTAAACTGCTCCATTGATTGAGGCCCAAATGAGCGCAGTAGCCGCAGCCAGTCACAGTCACAGCCACAGCCACATGGACATAGATTTTGGTTACGAAATGTGTTCATTTGCAGCTCGCAGAGATCTTTCCTGTCGAAGGTCTGCTGGCTGACATAAAAGTCTTAAAGGTGGGCATAAGCATAAGCTTCAAACATATTCCATATCGTAACAAATGCAGAATACCAATCGACTAACATTTGACGCCATTGGCAGAAGTTGAAGCGCTTTCAAGTAGATTGAAACTAGGCTGATTACTTTGGCTCCAAACTGTATTTCATTTAAAGAAAAAAGAATTTGAAAATACAGGAGCCATGTCGCCGAAGATATAGATAAGATATATATATATAGCTGAGACCTACATATTTGTATATAAGATTTAGCTCAGCTCCAATCTAGAAGAAAATTTATATATTTTAAAATAATTTTGAGATGGGAATTGGTTCCATATCGTAATTTTTTATCTCTTTAAATTACATATAAATTTGGAAAATATTGAAACAGATGCAATTACCGATTGCGCTCTTCTGATAAGCTCTTTTTTTTAAATATTTTAAAAATATTTACAAAAATAAGACACACCAATTTGTTGTTTCTTTTAAGAAAAAAAAGGTAAAATTAAAAAAAAAAATTTTTTGACTCTAACTCGAGTTTTGGTATTTTTTATTATTATTTTTAAATTTATTTTTATTTGTTTGTTATTTGTTCAGCAAATTTTAATTACATTGGGTTGACATTTAGCTTGTCTTTTCTGCATGACTTGGGATGGAAAACATAAAGAGGGAGTTAAGGAGTGGGCTAAGAGCGCAGAGTTGTGGGGGATTCAGTCAAAGTGATGTGAGTTGACCTTGGCCAAATCAAGTGCTCTGAGCAATTTCAGGCGAGTTGCTTAATGCATTTTGGTGCTCTTGGAATAAATGATAATAAATGTAATATATATATTCGAGGGCTGTTCAACAAGTAGTGCGAACTACATATTTTTCAAAAATATTTTATTTATATTATAATTTATATCTATTTTGTCCGCTTTAAAGATTTATATTATGCAAAGTATTCAAAGTATACTTTCGCGTTACTCTTTGAACAAACCCTGTAAAAACTCATGACATATCCTAGCTCCATGGGATATTATCACCGATTCTAAAATGATTTCCGTGCCAGGCATGTGGTATGCCCACTCAGCTGTCGGGCCACACAGGCGCGAACAGGGTATTACGATAATGGAAACATAACCAATTTAACGCAAGGTTATGTCCCAGTCAATGGGCACTGACTATGTCCAATTGATGGGACATCTCTCAGATCTATTCTGGCACTTTTTTCTTCTTCTTTTTTGACACTCTCGGTGCGGTTAATGGGCTAACGCAACGAGCTGCTGCGCTGTCCTTGAGCAGCGCCGCAGTTGAGGTTGTTATGCTAATTAATGTTGCAAATGCATTAACTGAGCACATGGTGATCTGACACCGGGTGTTCCACACACGGAGAGGAGAGACTGAGAGAGAGAGGGAGAGACCACGGGCATCGTCATCTCAAATTATGCGTTTTAATTTCCATTATCGATTCGCATTGTGTGCGCTGCGGTTGCCAATGACCTTCGAGAGGACCTGAAAAGGAAGAAAAGAAAAAGCGGCAGGAGGAGAAGAAGATGGCCAAGCAGAAGAACACTTGACCAGCAGGCGATATTGTCAGCACATGGACCAAGAAATTAAGACACAATTGAAATTGAAAAAGGCAAAGTGAATTGTGTTGCTCATTCGGTTATAAGTCTAAAGTTACTGTTATTATATATTACAAATTATTATTATTATAAATTACGTTAAATGTTTGACAGATATATATATATATATATAAGGAATAAGATATATATATAGACCGAAGCCATAAATTTTTCTAATGTTCTCAAAATCATTTCGTTGGTCAATGATTTGATGCCTGCAAAAAGATTGATTCCAAAAGTTCTTTAAGTCTATCAAAAATTCACCTATCTTAAAGCATTATCTACGTAATAATTCTTGGCCTTAAATATAATAATATATATATTCTGCATAAAAATGTATATCTCGTAAGAAAGTGCCCAAAGGGTTAGCTCGTCGAAGAGGCAAAAAAATCTTTAGCCCGCCGCCTTCTCTCTGCTGTTATATATATTATTATATAATATATATATTATTATATACAAAAGAATGCTTTTAATTTTTAAATGAATCACTACTAATTTTATGAACAACTAAGTTTTGTGAAATTTTCTTACTTAAGTCCTCAAGCACCACTATTCTTATGAACAACTAAATTTTATTCATTTTTGCTCCAATTAGTGTCCAAGTCTTGCAAGTTTGCAACAAAAAATATATACATTAATAATAATAAATATTAATCTTAAATTTCAGTTTCAGTTTGCTTTCAAAATATTGTGTTTTTCACTGCATTTTCCTGTCCAGTATTTGCTGTCCAGCAGAGCACAGTCGCACTACTATTTTTATGAACAAGGCGGAAAATAAGTTTTTCTTTCTCTTTTTCTCTATTTCTATTTCTGCGTTATTATTTTTATGTAAAAAAAATATTTTATTTATAGCTTAAAAACCCAATTATGCACAGATCTCAATAATATAACTAGCATTAACTAATTGAGATCAGAAATAGAGCAAGTAATATAAACCCTTTTATCTTCTATTTGACCTCCAGCTCTCCAGGCAACTCTAAAAAGCTATAGCTAGTTTTTTATTGAAGCCAATTTCAGCAGCATTTCCAGCATTATTTCCACCTATATTAAATATTTAAAAATAATATAATTCAAGCCGAATTACCTGTCGATCGGCTTGTGCGTACTCTGAGCAAGCTAAAAATTGTTTAGAAAAATTTAAATGTTATTTAGCTATATCTTAGCTCAGATTTCTAAACATAGTTGAGCTCAAGACCTTTGCACCGATTTCAAAAATCAATTGATTTCCATTTTCAATCAACGCCAGACCCTATATAAAAAATATCTAGAATTGGAACTAGAAGATGGAGAGTAGAAAAAAAAATGTAGTTATTTGTTTTGTTCAGTTGGATTTTTCTTTTTATTTGGTTTCAGAAATTCGTTTGTGTTCATTTTTTCGCGCTAAAACTTAAATCTAGACAAAAAAATTGTTTTGCTCTCTCCTTACGTGGCTAGAAACTTAAACATTATCAATAGCTAAATTCGCATGATTCAATAATGAAAATGATATCAAAAGATGAAGAGGAAGTGGAAGAGGAAGAGTATATCCCGAGATACATCCAGAGAGATATCGGATAGTTAACGCGCTATTTACAAAACAGTCGAGAAATTACAAATTAAATTCAATTTATGCTACGAGATTTTTATGGGAACTTCCCTACGAAGACAAAGTTTTTGCTTTTGTTTTGGAAAAAGTTAAAAATAAAAAAAAAATGCCTTTATACATAAATATTCGTAAAATAATAATAATAAAAAAAAAATTATAAAATTGAACTAAAGTTGGATTGTTTTTGGTTTTCCGAGTGAATTCTTTAAGGGAAAGGGAGGGGGCGTAGGGTGGTACTTGGAGCAGAAGACGTTTAACAGTTTTCCTCAAGTTCGCCGCGTGGCGATCGAGCGAAATTCCAGATGAGGTTTTTCTAGCTTCTTTTTTTTTTTGGTATTTGTGCTCGTTTGTGTGTGTGTGTGTGTGTGAGTGTGTGCAACGAGCTCGACGCACGCCTTTATGAATCGAGCATAAAACTTCGAGTGAGCTCGTCGCACAACCCCCATTTCCCCAATATATCCTTCAGGTGCTGCTCCTGCTCCTGCTCCGTTTGCCGGCCGGAGCTGTTTCATCTGCTTCTTCCTCGTTTGTGCTGTGCTCTGCTGTGTGCACGTGTCTAACTTATATGACTATATCACAATGTTGCTGCCGCTCTGCGCCTGCTTTCTGCATCCTGCTCCATATCACGCTGTGTGTGTGTGTGTGTGTGTGTGAGTGCTGCTGCTGCTGCTGCTGCTCAATATGGCCGCCACACGGTCTTCTGCTGGACGACGGCATTCTTGAGCTTAGTTGCCGCCGGCAGCGTCGTCTCTGGCGATGCCTGGCGCGGAGCAGTCACAGCAGCCACCGCAGCCGCCGCCGCCGCCGCTGCTGCCGTCTCATGGTAGAGTGGCTTCAGGGCGGAGGGAGCTTTGAGATCGCAGCGCATACGCAGCGGCACAGAGATTTGCTGGGTGGGCGAGCTGCGCGTCGAATCGATGGACTTGTCCAGCTCGTACTCGGACTTCACCACGTCGATCTGTTCGTCGTCGGAGTCTGCATCGGAGGCGGACTGTTCGTGTATGGAGCTCGTTTCGATGGAGGTGTTCAGCTTGAGCAGCACATGGGGCATGGATGTGGGCGTGGGCGTGGGCGAGGAGCTCGATGGGCGCGACGACGCTGGACTCATGTGCGACGCATCTACAGCACTTAGACCGCCATGGTGCAGTGCAGCGGCGGCGGCATTGCGCGCCCTCAAGCCAGCCGCAGCCGCAAAGTTGTACGGATGGAAAGCGTGCGGCGTGGCCTTTTGATTCTGATGCGCGGCGGCGGCAGCTGCGGCGGCCACATGATTGAACGGAAACTGTGGCATCGCGTACGCCGACGCTGGCGGGCCACCCGGCGGCGAGGGCATCATGGAGGCGGGCGGCACTGCGCCCACGCCAGACGGCGCCTGTGGATAGTCAGCGGCAGCGGCGGCGCTGGGCACAGCGGCACCACCTGCAGCTCCCGGCGAAATGACGCCGCTATTGCTGCCATTGGGCGAGGTGGCTGCCTTCGACAAGGCCGGATGATGCACTGCAGCAGCGGCTGCCTGCTGATGGCGGAAGTAATCCGCATAGCCGTACGTCATGTACGCAGCATCCAGCCAAGCAGGATTCAGCATAAATGGATTGAACGCGCCGGGATGTGGATAGCCATAGCCTAAAAGCAAAAGGAGACAAGCAACACACGTAAGTACAATCTGCAGGGCGTGGGCGAAATGCATTTAAAAAGTGGAATTGGCTGGGAGTAGCTGGAGAGCCGATGAGGCGGTATGGAACGGGATGGGTAGTCGAAACTGAAAATCGTAATGGAAACTAAAAAACTCACTTTGCTTACTTCTTGGCTCCCGCGGCCCGTCGACCGTTACTTTGATGGCCTTGCTGTAGCTGGCTATCTGCACCGGATACGTGGCGATTGTGATGGTCAGCGTGAAGGATTTGCCGCGGCCGGAGCGACCGACGAAGCGCAGATCGTTGAATTTGGCCACCTGATTCTTCATCGTTGTGGTGCAGTTGCGCAGCTCGCCGCAGTAGTTCTCGTCGTTGCCGCACTTGATCGAGACGAGCGTGCCATCGGGCACATCGTCCAGTGCGATCACCTTGAATGCGCCCGGCAGCGATTTGTTGGAGCGCCAATGGTTGGGCAGAGCGCTGCACAGGATCGACGGCGAGCCGGTTTGCGCCAATTCGCCGTGGTATTCCTGCAGCATTTCGTGCAGGCTGGCAAACATGTCCGTCATCGAGCTTGGCATTTTCGCCAAGTTCGCCGCATTTGCATTGGAGCTATTCGAACTGTTGTTGTTGTTGTTGTTGTTGTTGCTGCTGCTGTTGTTGTTGTTGTTGTTGTTGTTGCTATTGCTGCTGCTGCTGTTGTTGTTGTTGCTGCTGCTGCTGTTGTGGTGGCTGTTGTCCGGCGTGGAGCTGCCCGTGCTGCTGGCCGAGTGTGTGCTTATGTTGCCTTGGCTAACATTTGTGGCAGCCGCTGCTGCCGCCGCTGCTGCTGCCGCTGCGGCCAGGACCTGCGTGTGGGCGGACGTATTGGCCACTAGGGTGGGTCCAGTGGGCAAATGCATTTTTCACAATATATATTTTATATCACGTGCTCAAAAAAAATTGTTGTTATTGTTGCTGTTGTTGCTGGTTGTAATCCAAGTTGGGTTCGTAATCCTTGTTGCACTTCACCAAATTGTTAAAAAAAAATATATTTTTTATGGAAATTTGGAAAACAAAAACGCTAGCTAGCTGGCAATGCCGCTGCTTTGCACGCTTTTCTTTCTTTCGCACTCAAGATACACGCAAAAAAATTATTGTAAGTCTTTCGTTTCAGAAATATTTCGAAATTCGCTGTTCTAGTCGAGTTACAGTTACAATTGCACACTGTTATTTCGCTTCACTTTTGAACCAAACGCGGCGAAATTGTGCTCTGCTCTCGCTCGCTTCTCTTTTTCTGGCTGCGTTCTCGACACGTTAAAGTCGCTGTGTGAACTGTTTCTCAACTACGATCGTTGCCAGTATTTAAAGTAGAATGCGTTGCCGTCGCTGTCGCTGTCGGCGTCGCTGCTGCGCCGCTGCAAGACAGCAGTGGCGCGCTCAGTCTCGGTCTCGCTCGCACTGCACCGTGGCGATGATTCGCGCCCGCTCGCACTCACTGCAATTATTCAGGACGTCGCTGCGTGGTTTGGTTGGCTCGTTCGCTTACCTATTGTGTGTCAGTGTGTGTGCGTGTGTATGGGCTAAGGGTGCAACGGCTGCCGGCGGCGGTGGCGGTGGTGACCGGGGCAGGTATCAACCACCATTGCCACAACAACAACCACAGTAAAAATTTCCCATTTTTCCATTGCGGTGTACACTCGCGCACACAGAAAACACGGCCAGCAACAACAACAGCAGCGGCAGCGACAGCAGCAGCGACAGCAAAGGCAACAAGAAATAAGGGAAGTCGACAACTGAGGCAGCAGCAGCAGCGACTGAGGAAGAGGCGTGCGTTGTTGCTGTTGCTGCGTTGTTGTTGCCATGCTACTTGTGGCCAGGGACGCGCGGTCAAACCGACAAACGAAAAGAAAAAGAGAAAAAAAATGATAACACCAAAGGCGAAGAGGGCAAAAAATCGTTGGAAGCGAAATAAAAATGTGCCATGAGAGCGCATCGCGAGAGCGGGGCGGCTCTCTGAGCATACTGGAAAGGCGCAGGCGGGCGCACAAAAAAATAAAATGACGTAGATAAAAAATACTCAGTGAATGGGGTTTTATGAAAACTCATGCGGAAAATGAAAAAAACGAAGCATATTCTAAAAAAAAACGTAAAAGGAAACTCTTCTTGCTCTCAATTTCTGTGCTCTCACTGTCTCTGTCTCTCTCTCTCTCTCTTTCGCTCGCTCGCTCTATTTTTCTATTGCGCTGTGTGTCGCCGGCTCAGTCACTCGCTCGCTCGCTAGCTTAACCTTTGCCATGCTCCGGCTCCCCGACGGGCGGTCGCAAGCTGGAAAATTGGTTCTTTACGCACGCAACTTTAACAACGGCATTCAACAGTTCCAACTGCGCGCGTGTAGGCACCCCACGGCCCCGTATCCAGTCGCACTGCCAGCTCCTGACAAGCCTACGCACCCAATGCCAGAGCCACAGGTAGCGACTAACGGTATGATTCTGCAAACTGGCCACAGTGGCGTCCACTGTGAAGGTGCTTAAAAGAAAACTATCGCTAAATATATCCTGTCAGCAATACATATACATGTATATTAGTGATATAATTCGGAATGTGTTGGATCAGCTAAAGATTATAGATGGATAATCGGCAGATTAGATGATTGCGCAAGACTTCACTGATTCTTAAGTCATGATTAAGTTCTCTAAGATCTGCTTTGATCCTAAGCTTTTACGGAAGTAATTTGTTTGGAACGGAATGTACAAAATATAAAAACTTTATTTAATAAAAGGATTAACGTGTTAATTAGTATATTATAAAAAATGTAAATAAAATCTTTTTCCATATCAAACCAATTATTTATTATTACGTAAACTTAAGAACTAGTTGAATATAATTTTAGAGAATTTTACATACAATTTTTCGTTTAATGTGAAAGGTAAAATTGAACTGAGATCATCAATATTCTAACTTAAATAAATATATATTTTATAGACATATTGAATCAAATCTTCTAGTTTTTATATCGTACATTTCGCCTGCCTAAGCATGCGCCCCTTCGGGAAAAGCCAATGCGAGCGCCTCTGCAGTGAGGACGACAAATCAAACTCGCGGCAGCCCAAAAAATTGCGGAGCACCAAGCAAGTTAAAACGAGGCCACAAGTGCTGCACACAAAACAGACGAACGAACGGACAGACGAAAAGGGAGAAAGAGAGATGGACAGGAAGAGGGAGACGAAGACGGAGAGAGAGAGTAAAGGCAGAGCAGCGACTGGATGGCAGGGCAACCACAATGAGGAGCAACTGGCTAGCCACTGTCACGAGAGAGCGGCAGAGGGAGCAGTGAGAGAGTGCGGTGCGGCTGCTGGTGGGGGGAGGGGTATTATCTTAAGTGCTAGTCGTGACTCGAGTCGAGCCAACCAAAATGTCGCGAGAACGCGCCTCGCTGCGGGTGAGGATGAGGCGTAGACTAAGGCAGAGAGGCCGAAGCGTCGGGAAAGTACACGCACACTTCCAATCAACAGCGACGTCAGCGTCGCTGTCAATGCGTGCGCGCCCGCTCGCTGTGACAACAACAACAGCAAGGGCAATCGACTGCTGGAAGAGAAGAAGGCAGCTTGGCAAGGACGCGCCTGGATGAGATGATACAGGTTCGCAAGTAGCGTGCGACAAGGACGTAGCCGGCAAGGCTTTGATTTTGTTGATTGTTTTGAGCTAGCTATTCCAGCGAACTGGCCAGGCTCCTAGCGTACGTTCTTCCAGCGTTATCCTGTCGTTTTCCACGGCAATTTGCGTGGCTCATTCAACACCCGCTGATCGCCAACAGCTCGTACAGAAGCTGCGCATTGCACGCGCATCGCGCCGCAGGGCGCAACACGGATCAGTCTCAGCCAAAAAGAAGCAGAAAATCTAATATCATCTCAGCCATACCTGTCCTCTCTCTCTCTCTCACTATCTCTGTCTGTCTGTCTCTCTAGATGCAGCTGCGTCTTGCCACCCTTTTTTACGATCGCTTTTTTCTGTAGCTCAGAGCCAAGCCTCTGGTAAAAATCGTTTTGCAACCAGGTAGCCACCCACTGCAGGCCGCAGACATCGGCAGCAACAGGTAGGCAAACCACATTCGGATCGCGAGCGCCGCACTCCCGCTTAATCCTTTACTTATGAAAGTCAATCGCCTGGATTATCCAGCACGCCCAGCAAATATTTTGGGCGATTAGCCGCCCCACAAGCAACCAATCGATCCGCGCCGACAGGCACCAGAGGCACCTTCACAGGTAAGCCTCAACCTGTAACCGGTTAGGGGAATCTAGCCCTAACGGTTAAGCAAGAATACACTTTGCACTGCAGTTGATGGAACTTATATAGATCAGCTACTGATAGCTAGCTATAGACCTAGATGGATATATCTATTGCAAAACTCAACTAAATATTGTGAAATCGGTCATGAATTGTATTTATCTATTTTACTTTAAATATAATTATTTTTTATTTTAGTTAGTTTTTATTATCGTCCCTTAAAGATGTCACATTATTTTCAATTCATTTACATATAACTTATTCCAAATCCATATTCCAGTCTATGTTTCCAATGCAGCTTCATCAAAAATGAAAGCATTCCATTGCCACTGTAAACGAAAAAAAAAACGGTTTTTGCCTCTCTTTGCGATCGACCAAACGAGTGGAAGCGCGTGAATGCAGTGCGAGCAACTGGAACGATTCGTATCGTAGCTGATCGGACCCAACCCTCAGTCACTCACTCACGCACACACACACGCACGCACGCTCTGTTGGAGAAGGGGGCGCTGCCACAGTTTTGAGGCCAGCCAACCAGTGACAAGCATTAGTGCTCGCCCCTAGAGCCACGACCACTGCTGAGCGCACGATCGTTCAGTGGCCGTCGCTCGCTTCTTGCTCTGTTAGCGAGGGGGTTGATTATAAATAGACACACGCCGTCCATTGAGTGCGAGGCGACCAAGCGTTTCCAATGGTTGGCTGTGGGCCGTCCCATGGAGCGCAAGTGAGATGTCCGACTGGCGTTATTAGCTACTGACTCCGCCCCAAGAGTAGTCGTTGATCGGTGATCAGTAATTGCCAGCAGCTGTAAGAATTACGTGTGCCCCGCTTGCTGCACATGCCGCCACTAACTAGGCAACACTAAATGCTCTTTGCAAGCCCAGCGAATTTCCAACGCAGCGCAGCTCAACGTTCAACTGTTCCAGCGCCAACAGCAACAAGATGGAGCGCGCAATAGAGAGCCATTTTTAAAATGCTGCGACGCGACGCAATTTCGACGACGACGACGACGACTGCGGCCGACGAGTTGGCAGCGACCGCGAACTTCGCTTGTAAGTGAATTGTGGTTTGTTGTTTTGGTTGGCGCACGCTGCCACTGTCGCAGTCAACGTTGGCGTTGACGTCACTGCCGCCCGCTGCTGCGCCGCTGCGTTGCTGGCGCTGCCAGGATCAACCACCGAATGGCAAATGAAAAAATAAAATAAACAAACAAAAAATTGAGGCAGCCTTTGAATTTTTTCGCTCTTCATGAATGAGCTCTCCCGTCCGTGACTGAGCAAACGAGCGAGCGAGCAAGTAAACGAGTGAGTGAGTGTGTATGTGTGAGTGAGTGAGTGAGAGTGGCTGAGTGCCGATTGCAATGAGAGTGAGCGTGTATCACCACACTTCCACTGTCAGCCACCTTTCCATTGGAAAATTTTATTTTGAGTGTTTTTTTTCTTTGTTTTCACATTGGGGTGGCTACTTGGAGAATCTGAGCATCTAGTTGAGGAGCTGTGGTGAGTTCGAAGATGAGCATTTTTTACAGCTCGCGCTACGCCTGCGATGGCAGCAGCTGCCGTTGACACTCCCACAATACATACAGCAATACACTTACACGTAGGGACCGCAACATCGACAACTGTGCCCACAAGTTTGTGTAATATGTCGTCTGCCTTGGTGTTGGTGTTGCGCCCAAG